TCCCAGCCCAGCACTGGTGAAAGAGGTAAGTTTAACCCCTTCCTCAACCTAGAGCCCGGTGGGAGGGGTGCCCCCACCCTCAGGGCACTATAGTGCCAGGAAAATGAGTATGTTTTCCTGGCACTATAGTGATCCTTTAATTGGACGAAAGAGAAGGGTCGGTATAACATTGGACAGGAAGGGCCATCCACTGGCAATGTGTCCTCACGGGCCCAGTCAGCGCTGCACCCTTTAACAACACAGCCAGGCCACTTTAATTTCAGCATTGGTCACTTCCTCCCAAGTAACAGATTGAGCTGCACAGGAAAGGCAGAGCGAAGGGAGCGCGGACTGGGGGAGACTGACTCCCAACAGCCTCAGCCAGCCGATTGGACCTCAGGGAAGCCATCCACCTGCACCCGACAGGTAGTAAATAGGAGGGAGGATAAAACAAATGTACATTTTGCATGCATGTCTATCTGTGTGCCTGTGTATCTGTATGTGTGTTAGTATCTGTGTGTGTGTCATTCTGTGTATCTGGCAGGATCATATCCTGACAAACAAGACGTATGTTCCTTTTATTTCTGTTCTTTTAAAACAAGTTCCTGCTCTGATTTTATTATTTACCACTAGTGGCATCCCTTGCCTGTAGTTCTTGAATCTCACCTGCTCATGTTTAATTACTTGCTTCAGCTTCAAAAGGCTACACCCAACTAACCTCAAGGCCTTTACAATGAAGTTGGTGATTTGCCTGAAAGACTTCAGTTCCTGGCTCCTGTGAACCTGCTCCAGACCTACCCTCAACCCTGCTCCAGACTTACCTTCAAACCTGCTCCACTCTTACATATGATTTTTGACATCTGCCACTGTTACCAGCCTGCCTTTGATACCAACCTGCCTTTGTATCAACCCTACCTGGAAATCAGACTTTCTTTATTTTTTGCAAGTAACATGTTCTGTGGCAAGTATCCTGTTTTGTGGCATATTGCCTTAAAGGAACACTATAGTCACCTAAATTACTTTAGCTAAATTTAAGCAGTTTTAGTGTATAGATCATTCCCCTGCAATTTCACTGCTCAATTCACTGTCATTTAGGAGTTAAATCACTTTGTTTTTGTTTATGCAGCCCTAGCCACACCTCCCCTGGCTATGATTGACAGAGCCTGCATGGAAAAAAACAAACTGGTTTCACTTTCAAACAGTTGTAATTTACCTTTTAAATAATTGTATCTCAATCTCTAAATTGAACTTTAATCACACACAGGAGGCTCTTGCAGGGTCTAGCAAGCTATTAACATAGCAGGGGATAAGAAAATCTTAAACAGAACTTGCAATAAAAGCCTAAATAGGGCTCTTTACAGGAAGTGTTTATGGAAGGCTGTGCAAGTCACATGCAGGGAGGTGTGACTAGGGTTCATAAGCAAAGGGATTTAACTCCTAAATGGCAGAGGATTGAACAGTGAGGCTGCAGGGGCCTGTTCTATACACCAAAACTGCTTCATTAAGCTAAAGTTGTTCAGGTGACTATAGTGTCCCTTTAATTCTGTTTTTTTTTTTTTTCCCTCAAGTTTCATAATTATGTCTAAAAGCACCAATAAAGTCTCAAATAGCATGCATGCCTGTTAGTGTGTATCTGCATGGGCGTCAGTAATTGAATCTGTGCATCCATGTATCGTTTTACAACAGTACATACAAACACAAATTCCATTCAAATACATGCTATACTTTTTATGTAATAAGGATGCACTATTTATGATTTGCCTTGTGGATATTACATGGATGACCGTGATTACGGACCCTCTGGAGCGATCTGGTAGCACTGTAACATGGCTGTGTGATACAAAGGCAAATACAAACATACAAGATTAAGCCCTGCACTCAAACGCAAAGGTTTTTAGTATCACTCAAATGGCCATTAAGTGGTGTGCTCACCTGCCACATAAAAAGTAACAAGAACAATAATGGAATCTAAGTAACGTTTTGGTTCTCTATTCGTGCTGGCTCTGTATGCCAGTTTGCTTTACATGTGGCTCCTATGTTCACGTGATTGCTCTGCATTCAGCTATCCATTATTTCTTTATATATGTTTATTTTTGTAAGGGTATTTGCATATGTTTTTTTATTTTTTTATTATTATTTATTGGGTTTAATTAATAAACATGATTTCGAACACCTCCCCGGCTATAAAACTACTTGTTTATTAGAAAATTCATGGTTGCTGATTTCTAAGGGACAGCAGCTCTTACACTTATTGGGTTTTTAGTCAGCAATTTAAAACCTATTTATATATAATTATTTGTTTGCTACCTGCCTATTGAGCTATTGCCTGCAGGACAGGGATTTATTTAATAATCATAAATAATTTATCAGAATAAAACATTTATGAATTGCAGCACCTAATTGAGTTAATTTGAATATATGCTGTTTTTTAATTATCATACTGACTTTAAAAAAAAATTATAATTTATAAGGCATTATAGGTGTATGTATATATAATTTCTTTTTTCCATGTATCATTTTTATTAAAATTTTTCATAGATTCCAAATATATCAATTGACACAAAGACACAGCGGTACTTTCACATGAACCAGCAGGCGTTGAATACAGCCTTCAGTTCTCATTTTTTCTTACAGCAATATAGTTTAGTCGTTCGTACAATGGCAGTAATCAACAACTTAGTCCTATGCACTGCAATCGTATATTACATCTTAGACATGTAGTACTGCTTAGTATTATAACATGGTGCACTTCACTACCCATAGAACGCATCTCACTGTGTACTTCCCATAGAGCATTATCTTTTTAATGTATAAAAATGGGGCAATACCTATAGTGCCTTTTTAAACTGGATGCTTTCTAGTGTAACAACATCTGTTTATCTAATCAGGATCGAATGGAAAGGATCCAGGGGAAAATGAATCAAACTTATGTGAAAACAGTACTGACTTCATCCTTTAAAAATAAAGATGATTTATGACTGAATGTTTAACATATACCTCTTCAAATATAAAGAGTAACAATAAGTGTAACAAATAACTGATTGTCTATAAAATGTTTAACTATCCATCCGACTAACAATACATCAATCTTGTTTTGCAAACAACACACTGTCTGGCCGTCAAGTAATACACATTTGGAGAAATCTATTAAAGAGACAATAAGGCCTGCATTTTCTTCCTATAACCTTGTAGCCTAAATATTTTTGCTGATAATAAATAAAGGTTCTATACAAGAGTATGTCGTGGCTTACCCTGATTGCTGATGGGTAACTAAGTCTAAACAAAAATGTATAAAATATATAAGGGGTGCAAAAAATATATAAATAAAAACTGATTTTATTATGGTTAAAGGGGTTTTCCAACCAAAAAAGAAAGTTTTTTTTTTTTTTTTAAGAGTATGGTGTCAATGCAAAAAGATTTTGACATTTTGTAAACAAGCCTTTGCCTTAATTAGCCACCTTCTCTGTGTTAATCTTAAAGCAAACCCTTTGTTGGCACTACTAAATGGTGTCTTGACATCCCCCAGTTTAAATAACCCAGCACTTAAGTTATCCCATAACATATGGACTGCCAACCGATTTTCTGTGGAGTTTAGTTGGAGAGAAGGTCTACCTCAGGTTTAGAGTTTACATCCTCCCACATTTTGTGTCTTACTCCTCCCAGACCCTTTGTGTGACTCCTTTTCTCCCAGCCCCTTTGTGTCTCTTTCCTTCTCAAGCCCCGGTGTGTGTTTCTTTCACATCCAGCCCCTCTCCCTGTCCCTTAATGGTCCCATCCCTTCTCTGACCCTTTCTGTTCCTCTCCCCTCTCTCCTCCTTTTCCTGTTCCTCAGTGTTCCTTTCCCTGTCCCTAAGTGTTCCTCTCCCCTCCCCCCTCTGTTCCCTGTTGCTTAGTGTTCCTCTCCCCCTCCCTCCTTTTCCTGTACCTTAGGGTATCTCTCCCCTCCTCTCCCTGTCCCTTGGTGTGCCACCCACCCCCATAGTGGTCCCCTCCCCTTCCTGGTGTGCCTCCTACCTTTCTTGTAGCGTGGCTGAGCGGAGCGAATCCCGGTACAGTGAGCTTTTCCTGTCAGTCCTGCCAGGTACAGGAAACAGAAGTTCCTGTACCACGGTACATTCCGCTTGGCCACGCTACAGTCAGGGGTGTATAAACACTGACAGTCACACACACTCAGTGACAAACACACAGACATCTCTGACAGCCAGACTCACTTATCTGACACACTCATTCATTGACAGACACTCACACGCACACTGACGGGCACACAAACACTGACAGACTCATTGACAAACACACACTGACACACACACACACACACAAACTCACAGATACTGACAGACACGTAGTCACATGCACACACGCACATACTGACAGACACACTCCCACACACTGACAGACACACATACTCACACACACTCACTCACACACACCGACAGACACACATACTCACACACACTGACAGACACACATACACACTGACAGACACACACACACACTGACAGACACACACACTCACACACTGACAGACACACATACTCACACACTGACAGACACTCACTCACACACATACACTGACAGAACCATACAAACTGACAGACACGTACTCACATGCACACACGCACATACTGACACACACATACTCACACACACTCACTCACACACACCGACAGACACACATACTCACACACACTGACAGACACACATACTCACACACACTGACAGACACACACACTCACACCCTGACAGACACACATACTCACACACTGACAGACTCACTCACACACATACACTGACAGAACCATACAAACTCACAGACATTGACAGACCCGTACTCACATGCACACACGCACACACTGACAGACACACACACTCACTCACACACACTGACATACACACACTCACACACTGACAGACACACACACTCACTCACACACACTGACAGACACACACACTCAGAAACACACTGACAGACACACATACTCACATGCGCACACACACACTCACAGTAATTAATAATCTAAATTAAATTAAAATTTCCCACCCAGCCTCCCTACCTGGAGAGCTGGCGTGGGTCTCTCATTGGTGGTCCAGTGGGGCTGCTGGGAGGCGTGCGGCTGAATTGGATTCCGAGGTGGCGAGGGAGCTCTGATCTCTCTGGTCTGCTCCCTCGCAGGCTGTTTGCTGATGCCGCGGGAGCCGGAATATGACGTCATCAGTAAACAGCCTGTGAGGGAGCAGATCAGAGCTCCCTCGCCACCTCGGCATCCAATTCAGCTGCACACCGTGCCGGGGATCCAGAAGGTGACCTGGCAGGAGGGAGCACTTCCCTCCTGCCCGTCACTGGAATTTTGCGCCCCCAGAGCCGGTGCACCCTAAGGCGGCCGCCTGTGCCGCCTTATGGACGCGCCGGCCCTGTTGAGACTAGAAATATACCTCGGATACATTCACAATCTGTCTGCTGGTTCACCAACACAAAAAGCAAAAAATAATATAATGTTTTCATGGGCACATGCAAATATTATACATTTTTAGAATGAAAAGTTGAATTTATTATTAAACTGTGTACTTTGTCTTTCAGCGATTTTTCAAACTGACAAGCTGTTAGAAATGGCACATATTGATTCTCATACAATGTTGGTTTCTAAATGACCTCTTACCCAGAGTTAGTGAATATGATGTTTAGACTGTAAGACGCCATCTTGTCCTAGGTTAGTGTGACACAAAGTCAGGGCCTTACCTACTTTTTGTTCCCAAAAAAACCTGCCTTCCTGCAGCAATCCTGAGTGCCTGGACCTAATTTATTTTAGGACCTTACCTACGTCATGATTAACCTTAAATTAAGTCCAAACATAGATAAGATATCTAGGTCATGACAACAGACCGATTAAGATGTTGCCATGTGAAATGATCAAGTCAAGTCTAAGTCTATTTAACCCCTTAAGGACTAAGCCAAATGTATACGTTGTGAACAAAACAAAACCTAGCATTTGCGCTATATGTCTGTCCAACCGTAATTCACCTCTTTCATATTAAATGCACCCACCCTTATTATATATCATTGTATTCAGGGGAAACAGGGCTTTCATTTAATATCAAATATTTAGCTATGAAACATAATTTAATATGAAAAAAATGGGAGAAAATAAGAAATTTAGTTTTTTTAGTTCTACATGACATTTTAACTGTTAATGTCATAGTTACATAGTTACATAGCTGAAAAGAGACTTGCGTCCATCAAGTTCAGCCTTCCTCACAAATGTTTTTGCTGTTGTCATAATACTGTTTGCTTTACTGCAATAAAATACACATATTTGTATTCAGCAAAGGCTCACGTGTAAAACAGTACCCCCTATTTTTAGGTTTTATGGTGTTTTGGGAAGTTACAGGGTCAAATATAGCACATTACATTTGAAATTGAAATTCGCCAGATTGGTTACGTTGCCTTTGAGACTGTATAGTAGCCCAGGAATGAAATTTACACCCATAATGGCATACCATTTGCAATAGTAGACAACCCAAGATATTGCAAATGGGGTATGTCCAGTCTTTTTTAGTAGCCATTTGGTCACAAACACTGGCCAAAATTGGCGTTAATATTAGTTTGTGTGTGAAAAATGCAAAAAACGCCAATTTTGGCCAGTGTTTGTGACTACTAAAAAAAGTGGCTACTAAAAAAAGACTAGACATACCCCATTTGCAATACCTTGGGTTGTCTACTATTGCAAATGGTATGCCATCATAGGAGTAATTTTCATTTTTGGGCTACCATAGGGTCTCAAAGGAAACGTAACCTTGGCGAATTTTAATGAAAAAAATGAAACACAAGCCTTATGTTTGATGCTGTAACTTTTGAAAACACCATAAAACCTGTACATGAGGGGTACTGTTGTACTCGGGAGACTTCGGTGACCACAAATATTTGTGTTTCAAAACAGTAAAAAGTATCACAGCAATAATATCGTCCGTGTAATTGCTGTTTGTGTGTGCTAAAAACGTCACTTTTACTGGCGATATCATCGTTGTAATACATTTTACTGTTTTGAACACTAATATTTGTGTTCAGCGAAGTCTCCCGAGTAAAACAGTACCCCCCATGTACAGGTTTTATGGTGTCTTGGAAAGTTATAGGGTTAAATATAGTGCTAGCAAATTAAATTCCCTATACTTTCGGCATGGGTTGTCAGGCAGGTCCCGCTAATTGTAATTAATTAAGATACCCAATTATGTAAAAATATTACATAAATATATATGTAGAATTAATATATGTGTATATATATATATATATACGTATGTGAATATTTTTATATATATATATATATATATATATATATATCTATATATAAATTTCGAATATCCCGCACTCAATTTGTCGGTCTTGTGCTTTCCTCGGTGCTGCCTCAGCCGTAATGGATATAAGTAAAAAACGAGTGCACTCAAGAGGTCTTCTTAGAAAATATATACTTGGTTTATTACAAAACGTGTAAAATATTCAAGACGATCTAGTCGACGTTTCAGTCCCCGTCTTGATAAAAGTCCTTCGGGGACTGAAACGTCGACTAGATCGTCTTGAATATTTTACACGTTTTGTAATAAACCAAGTATATATTTTCTAAGAAGACCTCTTGAGTGCACTCGTTTTTTACATATATATATATATATATATATATATATATAATTTTTAAAAAATATTTTTATTTATATATAGGTAAATATATAGTGATATATACGTATATATATATATTATTTCGTTCTACGTGTATTTTGATATAAATATATATAAATATATATATATATTAATATCACAATACAGTTAGAACAAAATAACACACATCTATATATTTTTGAATTAATTATTTTTTTAATTTTATTTTTTAACATATTTACATTTTTTTTTATATTATATATAAATATATGTATAACAATAATTATATATTTAATCAGTGTCAGTCTACGTGTAATTTGATATTAATATATATATATATATATATATATATAGTAAAATACACCTAGACAGTGTCTGTGTGTGTATGTGTATATATATATGATCTAAGTATATTATTTATTTTTTTTACACTGATTTTAATTTTATTTTATATCCAGCCAGCAGGGGGACTAACAGTCAAAACAGGCAGTCCCCCTGCTGGCAATGCAGCAGCCAGCTAACCCGGCCATGTGATTGTGAGGTCCTCACAAGGATCTCACTCTCACATGGCCGGGGGGGCCGGAGGTGAGTCTCCCCAACCGCGATCGCCGGCATGGGATTGCCGGCAACCGGGTAAGTAACAAAAAACCAGAGGGCGTACTATTACGCCCTGCGGCGTCTAGAGACGCTTAGAATAGGACGTAATAGTACGCCCTCCGGTTTTAAGGCGTTAATGGTCAAACTAAGATAGATTAGGTTAGTTTTTCAATTTTCCTAACATGACTTATGTGACGGAACGCTGGCACTCCGACTGAGTACCTCCGCCAATCGATGCTCCTAGCGCTTGCCGAGGACTCCAAGCACTCCAACCGACACCATCAGCACTGCAGACCCCACTTCCAGCGATGCAACTGTGCCGGGGTCTCTGCTGTCTCCACCCACCCTGGACCCAAGGCCAGGATCCAGCTTCCAGTGGGTGAACCTCTCTTTCCCCAGAGAGCAAGAACAGGAACAGGAACAAGCTCTTAGCAGAACTTAGTGATCATACCCTGGGGAGTATAGTGATTATAGCAATCCCCAGAGTGTAGGTATCCCTTCCCCCAAACATGAGCCAAGGCTTAATGCTGGAACAAGACTGATTTACTGGCACACAGAACTTGGAACCGGGGGATCTGGGTGAACCACATATCCAAAATTCACCAAAATTCACCCAGATCCGTTCAGTACTTTGGAAAATACAGTTTAATGCAGATTCTGCAGAACATATACAGGCTAAATGAAAAACAATCACTGTATAATGTGTCCCCTGCTGTATAGTCCAAAACCACTGCACGATGTCTCTGTGCACCAAATACTGGCGAGATGGCACCGTGTTGAAAAGTCCAAACAGTGTCTGTGAGTTAAAATGGTCTGCCATCCATTGTTCTCACCATGTGCTTCTGATACAGGAAATGGTGGCCACCGAGTAACTCCACAGTATGTCCCCAGATGGTTCTTAAAGGGCCAGCAGCACCACAACACAAATCCATTTTGCCCAAATCATGTCTTTAAAGGGCAATACATCCCAGGGGCCATAGTCACAGGGCAAGAGGCGGGCAAGCAGCCCTCTCCAGGCACAAGTGGCGAAGGGCACTTCGTCACACATCTTCCCTTTAGGGGGAAGACTAAACAGGTACCTGACCTTCTGCCGGTCAGTACCTAGATTAGTCGGGCAGCCCACCCACAAAGAAAAATACGCAGAGTAACCCCCCCCACAATAAATGGTACTGGCCTGTAGGTTCACGTTTGTAGTGGGACAGCGCAGCACTCTCGGTCTCCCTGGTGCAGCTAGGCAAACTGCTGGTGTTGCTTGGGGGGCAGAGGCCAGCGGCGCTCTGCCCTGCTGCCAGCTCTTCCACTGGGGTAACCCGTGGTAAGTCAGGCTCTGATACAGGGGAAAAGGGGGGGCAGAGGCTAACAAAGCTCTTCCCAGATGCCAGCTCTTCTGCTGGGAGGGGGTCAGTGGGTATCGCAGGCTCATCCACTGCCCCCAGGACCCGGTTGGGATGTAGCTGGGGAGGGGAAGTTTCACTTACCTCCTCCTCCTGGCATCCCTGCGGGGTTGGTTGGGGATCTGGACTGCCCGTCCAGCCTCCCTGTAGGACTGGCACAGAGACCGCGGTCCCATCTGCGCCAGTGTGGTTAGGTTTGTCTTCCCCCTCTCCCGGTATCTCTGGCTGCTGTTGGAGGGGGAGGCCGGTTGCCTCCCCTCCCCAGGACGCTGGTTGCTGTACGGGGGAGGGATCTACCATCACCTCCTCCTGGAACTCAGGCCGCCGCTGGGGAGAGAGACCGGTTGACTCTTCCCTCTGTACGGTGCACTGCCGCTGGGAAGGGAGGTCGCTGCTCTCCTCTCCCTCTAACTCACTCTGTCGCTGGAGACAGGGTGTCAATACCCCCAAACTCCACAGTTGGTACTCGTAGTTCCGTGCGTCTTGGTTCTCAGCACTCAACAGGCGCATAACTTGATGGACCACCTCATCTGAAGGGTTTGGGCCAAACCAGACCAGCCGTGCCTTTACTTCCTTCATGAAATCAGCACCCTCATAGCACTGTGACAGGCGGATTTGCAATTCACTGGCTGCTGTCCAGGGTCTTGCTAGCTCCATGTTGCTGTAGGTAGGGACGCTGCGCAGAGGCTAACGTTGCTCTCAATTATAAATCTGTAACTCCACACGTTACCGGTGTCTCCGAGCTGCTGGTCCTCGCACTAGGATGCCATCCCACCGCTGCCACCAAATGTGACGGAACGCTGGCACTCCGACTGAGTACCTCCGCCAATCGATGCTCCTAGTGCTCGCTGAGGACTCCAAGCACTCCAACCGACACCATCAGCACTGCAGACCCCACTTCCAGCGATGCAACTGCGCCGGGGTCTCTGCTGTTTCCACCCACCCTGGACCCAAGGCCAGGATCCAGCTTCCAGTGGGTGAACCTCTCTTTCCCCAGAGAGCAGGAACAGGAACAAATCAAGCTATTGCAAGAGCTTCCTCTGGGGAGTAAGTGATTATAGCAATCCCCAGAGTGTAGGTATCCCTTCCCCCAAACATGAGCCAAGGCTTAATGCTGGGACAAGACTGATTTACTGGCACACAGAACTCACAATTTATGCAACACAAAACTCCTCCTCTGGGCCAGGCTAGATAATTGAGTTTCTACAATACACAAAGCTCAATTATCTGCTGGCCAGAAATAATACAGTTTCATAAAACACACAGGGACCCCAAAACATGCAATAACCCCATAAAAAGTATATCCTTGGAACCGGGGGATCTGGGTGAACCACATATCCAAAATTCACCCAGATCCGTTCAGTACTTTGGAAAATACAGTTTAATGCAGATTCTGCAGAACATATACAGGCTAAATGAAAAACAATCACTGTATAATGTGTCCCCTGCTGTATAGTCCAAAACCACTGCACGATGTCTCTGTGCACCAAATACTGGCGAGATGGCACCGTGTTGAAAAGTCCAAACAGTGTCTGTGAGTTAAAATGGCCGCCATCCATTGTTCTCGCCATGTGCTTCTGATACAGGAAATGGTGGCCACCCAGTAACTCCACAGTATGTCCCCAGATGGTTCTTAAAGGGCCAGCAGCAGCACAACACATCCATTATGCCCAAATCATGTCTTTAAAGGGCAATACATCCCAGGAGCCATAGTCACAGGGCAAGAGGCGGGCAAGCAGTCCTCTCCAGGCACAAGTGGCGAAGGGCACTTCGTCACAACCTAATTGAAAATCTAGGGTATAAATATGTATACTTATTATTATTATTATTATTGCCATTTATATAGCACCAACAGATTCCGTAGCGCTTTACAATATTATGTGAGAGGGGAAGTAACTATAAATAGGAAAATTACAAGAGAACTTACAGGAATAATAGGTTGAAGGGGACCCTGTTCAAACGAGCTTACAGTCTATAGGTTATTAATATTAGAGACAGATGAGAGAATTTTGGATGCAGAGACGCTACAAGAGGGTATGTTGTTATACTTTACTGATATTGCAAGCATATACTTTAATCATACAAACTTTACTGTAAATTATTAAGATGTTATATGTCTATTTATATTTGTATTTAATAAAATATTTTAAAAGACAAAACTGTATTGCTTCCAAGAAAATCCAATTTTTTTTGTATTCTCAATTATTTATATATTTTATTTAGAGGAACTCTTACTAACTATATATTATAGCTAAGATATCTGTACGGTTAGCTCTGCTAAATTCTATTTTTTAAGACTTTATAGTGGTAAATAGGGGAACCACAGCAGTTACGATGTGGTTGTGAATTAAAATTTAACTTTTATTCATCTAAAATAGTAATATTAACATAAAAATGATACAAAACAAATATGTTCAATTTAAAGGTTTTATTCAATACTGTCAAGGTCCTGAGATAAGTAATCTGTAGTATAAGTGTCAACTACAACATTAATTAGCTTACTTTTCAAATCTGTCTGGGAAAAAATGTAATACTGATCATAGGCCAATAGAGGTCACTGTTATCATTAAGCTACATAGTGATTTCTTCCCAAACTGTAGTACAAGTGAGAACACTGAGGTTAAAGGGACACTATAGTCACCTTAACAACTTCAGCTTAAAGGACCACTATAGTGCCAGGAAAACAAACTCGTTTTCCTGGCACTATAGTGCCCTGAGGGTGTCCCCACCCTCAGGGTCCCACTCCCATGCCGCTGAAGGAAGGGGTTAAGGGGGAGGAAGGGGTTAATCCCTTACCTTTTTTCCAGCGCCTGGCTCCCTTGGGGTAGCACCCAAAATATTGGGACATATAAAAAAGGAAAACAAAAAATAAGTGCACTTGAGTATAACAATGGCTGGGTGAGGCCGGTATAAATGTCTATTCTGCACAAGGTACAGACCAGTCTGGTGGGATCCATGCCTGGTTTATTTTAATAAATGTGAGCTTGTCCACATTGGCTGTGGACAGGCGGCTGCGCTTGTCTGTGATGACGCCCCCTGCCGTGCTAAACACATGTTCAGACAATACGCTGGCTGCAGTGCAGGCCAGCACCTCCAAGGCATAAAAGGCATGTGCTCAATTTGGAGACCCAGAAGTTGAATGGGGCAGACCCATCAGTCTGTACGTGTAGGTGTGTGCACACGTACTGTTCCACCATGTTGCTGAAATGCTGCCTCCTACTAAGACGTTCCATATCAGCTGGTAGTGCTGGTTGTTGTGGCGTGCTGACAAAACTGTCCCATATTTCGTCCATGCTAACCCTGCCTTCTGAAGTGCTGGCGGTGCCCCAGCTGCATTGGCGACCTCTTCCTCCTCCTCTGCCTTCGCCTTGTGCTTCCACTGAGCCCATGGTCTCAGTTGGGAATGCCCTCAGCAGCGCATCTACCAGCGTGCCCTTGTAGTCGCGCATCTTCCGATCACGTTCCAGTGACGCACGTTGTCCTTGTAACGGGGATCCAGCAGGGTGGCCACCCAGTAATCAGCACAAGTTAGAATGTGGGCAACTCTGCAGTCATTGCGCAGGCACTTTGGTGATTCTAGATAACCTTGGGCCGATCGCACGTCCCCGTGATGGCGATGACGCATTCGTATGTCCGCCCTATCAACTTTCGATGGTACTTTCTGCGCCTACCATGGTGACCACGGGTAACGGGGAATCAAGGTTCGATTCCGGAGAGGGAGCCTGAGAAACGACTTCCACATCCAAGGAAGGCAGTAGGCGCGCAAATTACCTACTCCCGACGCGTGGAGGTAGTGACGAAAAATAACAATACAGGACTCTTATGAGGCCCTGTAATTGGAATGAGTACACTTTAAATCCTTTAACGAGGATCTATTGGAGGGCAAGTCTGCTGCAGAGCGACTGACCCATGGGTGCTGCAGCTGAAACTCCACTATCGCCTGCTGCTCGCACAGTCTCTCCAGCAAGTGCAAGGTGGAGTTCCACCTTGCGGGCACGTCGCATATGAGGCGTGAGCGGGAAGGCCGAAGTTACGCTGCAGCGCAGACAGGCGAGCAGCAGCAGAGTGAGAATGCTGAAAGCGCGCACAGACGGCCCGCACTTTCTGCAGCAGCTCTGATATATCTGCGTAGTTTTTCAGGAATTTCTGCACCACCAAATTCAGCACATGCGCCAGGCAAGGGATGTGCGTCAAACCGGCTAGGGCCAGAGCTGCTACAAGATTTTGCCCATTATCGCACACAACCAGACCGGGCTTGAGGCTCAGTGGCAACAACCACTCATCGGTCTGTTGTTCCATGCCCGTCCACAGCTCAGTGTGGGGTTTTTCACCCAAACATATGCGTTTTAAAACAGCCTGCTGTCGTTTCCCCCTGGCTGTGCTGATGTTGGTGGTGAAGGTGTTACACTGACCGGATGAGGAGGTGGTAGAGGAGGAGGAAGTGGAGGAGGAGGCAACAGGAGGCAAAGAGAAATGCCCTGCAATCCTTGGTGGCGGAAGGACACGTGCCGAACTGATATCCGCCTCAGGCCCAGCCGCCACTACATTTGCCCAGTGTGCAGTTAGGGAGATATAGCATCCCTGCCCGTGCTTACTGGTCCACGTATCAGTGGTTATGTGGACCTTGCCACAGATGGAGTTGCGCAGTACACAACTGATTTTGTCCGCCAATTGGTTGTGCAGGGAAGGAATGGCTCGCTGGAAAAGTAGTGGCGGCTGGGAACCACGTACTGTGGGACAGTCCCCGCCATCCGGTTTTTAAAACTGTCCGTCTTCACCAGATGGAATGACAGCATTTCAAAGGCCATGAATTTTGAAATGCTGGCTTTCAGGGATCGCGGGTGGGTAGGGGGGTACTTCCTCTTTCTCTCCAGTGTTTGGGAGATTGACAGCTGAACACTTCCATGGGACAGTCTGGAGATGCTTGGGGACAGTGGCAGACATGGTGGCGTTGCTGCCACATCCTCTGTTTGCGGGGTGGCAGGTACCATTGTCACTCCAGAGGTGGAGGAAGAGGCCGAGACAGAAGCAGAAGAGGAAGCAGAAGGAGCCTGAGACCTTTCTTGGTTTTTGAGGTGCTTACTCCACTGCAGCTTGTGCTTTGCAAGTAGATACCTGGTCATGCAGGTTGTGCTCAGGTTTAGCACGTTTATGCCTCGCTTCAGGCTCTGACTGCACAGCGTGCAAACCACTCGTGTCTTGTCATCAGCACATTGTCTGAAGAACTGCCACGCCAGGGAACTCCTTGGAGCTGGCTTAGGTGTGCTCGGTCCCTGGGTGCGGTGGGCAGTAGCAGGCGTACTGTCTAGGGGACGGCCGCTCTGCTTTTGCACCCTGCTCCCTCTTATGCTGTGCTGGTGCCTCTGTGCGACCACCGCCTCTTCCTCAAAACTGCACGTCACTTGCATGACCTTGATTCCATGTGGGGTCTAGGACCTCATCATCCTCCACATCATCTTCAAACCACTCCTCAACCCTGCCCTCCTTGCTGGTCTGCACACTGCAGAAAGCCACAGCAGTTGGCACCTGTGTTTTGTCATCATCAGAGACGTGCTGCGGTGGTCCTCGCATGTCCACATCCTGAAACATAAGTGGTTGTGCATCAGTGCACTCAATCTCTTCCACTTCTGGGGCAGGGCTAGGTGGATGGCCCACGGAAACCCCGCTAGCAGAGTCATCAAAAAGCATAAGAGACTGCTGCATGACTTGTGGCTCAGACTGCTTGGCTGATTTGCAAGGGGTTGAGATGAAAGACAGATGGCCATGGGCTGCAGGTGCCAACTCTGAGCTTTCAGCAGGGGACCGGGTGGGAGACAATGTGAAGGAACTGGAGACACTGTCAGTCACCCAATCTACTATTGCCTGTACTTGTTCTGGCCTCACCATTCGTAGAGCGGCATTCGGGCCTACCAAATAACGCTGAAGGTTCTGTCGCCTACTCTCCCTAAACCGCAGGCCGCAAATGTTCTATTTAGCACAAAAAAGTGTGATTTTTTTAAACCAACAATGTAACAGTAGTATTTAAGGGTTTTAGTGGACTGCAAGAAATGCACTGCAGGCCGCAAATGTTCTAGTTAGCACAAAAAAAGTGTGATTTTTTTTAAACCAACAATGTAACAGTAGTATTTAAGGGTTTTATTGGACTGCAAGATATGTACGGCAGGCCGCAAATGTACTATTTAGCACCAAAAAAAATGAGAATTTTTCAAAGTGTGATGTAACCACAGTATTTGACAGCTCTATCTGACTCTCAGATATGAAGTGCATGCCCCAAATTTACTTTTTAGCACCAAAACAATTTGAAATTGTCAAACTGCAATGTCACAGCAGTATTTAAAAATGTCTAGATGTTGCCCACTGAGCTACCAGAACAGAATTAAAATAATGTGCCTGGCACACATGCAGTTGCAAGTGCCCACCTAACAAACAGACTGATTGCTTATTTTTTCTGTGGCACTGGGCTCAGGGCAGGGTACAAAAATGTAGTATATCACCCACAAAATTATTCGCTGTAGTTTGCAGATTCAACACCAGAATTCTTTCCTAATCTGTCCCTCACAGCTGCAGCATCCTCTCCCTACACTAATAAGAGCTCAGGTGACATGTGGCGCTACGTGACTCCAGCTTATATAGAGGCTGGGTCACATGCTGCACTGGCCAATCACAGCAATGCCATTAGTAGACATGGCTGTGATGGCTTGTAAGGGCACACAAGTCAAACGCTTGTTGATTGGCTGCCCTGCAGCTTTTCAAAATGCGCCATTAAATCGCCGAACGCCGAACACCGAACACCGAACCCGAACTGTTACTGAAATGTCTGTGTTCGGGGTCAAAATTCGTAATGTTCTGTACGAGCCCGAACTTTACTGTTCGGGTTCGCTCATCTATAGATATAACAAGAAACAGCTGCTTATGTCTTGTGATAAACAATTATTATGCAACTATTATGTAATTATTATGAAACTGCTCATACCCCCACCATCATGAAAGATATGTATAAATATAAGGTGTGTTCAATAAAAATTGAATTGATTCTGTCTCCTTAACAATTCACGGAATTACAGAGAGGGAGAGGGTCGGTCTGCATCCATCTTTGTCCTGTGTATAGCTGATTTTTCCCCAACAAATTGGTGTCAGTAGCGGGATGCAACTGGAGATGTAAAAAGGTAAGAGAATTGTGTCTTTCAGACACCAATTCCCTTCCTTTTGCTCCCCTTCACACGTCGCATTATTTATTTAAAGGGGATTTTTACTGCATAAGTCTAAGGTAGACTAAGGGACTTTTTACAGTTGCTGTCTTTGGGAGACAGTCTCTACTTTGGTAGGAGGCTACTCTTTGGTAGGCTATAAAAAGTAATCACGCCTTTGGTAGGGTACAATGTAATATTGCTAAAAGGGAATTGTTTTAATCCTCTACTTGATGGATGTTTAGCCGTACTCCCAAACTTTTATTGTGTGTCTACTTGCTTGCTTGTGATATTTTGCTGTATAGATCCTGTGCTATTCTTATGTACCTTGACACCTCTGATTTTAAGCATAAAGCTCGAGGAGAGGGGACAGTTTGTGGGACCCCATGTGTTCCAAACAGCTGCCCCAATCCCCTGAATAACCATTGTTGTCAAGTGATTGGAATTTCTGGTTTTTAGCACTCCAGCTCGTGGAGAAGTGGCAGACCTTGTCAGAACCTTGATTCCAAGACAGCTGTCCTTCATCACTGATTAACCAGCAATTCCAAGTCCAGTCCTTATTGCCAGTGAGTCCGAAATGAGTACTTCCCAGTTTAAAAAATATCCCCTGCCTAACCCAGGGGAAAACGGCAAACAGTATGTTGCCAGGGCTGGAAAACTAGGGGCTTATTTAGTGAAACATTGGGTTCCTTGGGTAGATAATATGTTAGGGTGGACAGAAGGACAGGGTAGTAAAAGCTCCTTCTCTAAAGGTGGGGCTAATGAGGATTTCTATATGAGTATGATTAAGGGATTATTCCTAAGAGAAAGGAAATCTTTCCCTTGGTATAACACAGTAAAGGAGTTTAAGCATGCGTGGGACAGGCATAAGGCTATCCTAACTATAAGATAAGGCTAGGGACTAATGAAAGTATTTAGAAAATTGGGCAGACTAGATGGGCCGAATGGTTCTTATCTGCCGTCACATTCTATGTTTCTATGTTTCTATGTATGAGGATGACCCTGGATGGGACAGGGAATACATGAGACGGGGAGGTGAGAACTGGCTTAAGATAGTCCCTCACTGGTACCCTGTTTCACAAGAGGGAAAAAGAATTAAAGGAATAAAAAGAAAACAAGGGAGACTGTTTTTAACAACTCCAAATCATTACCCCCTCCTAATTACACCCTATACCCATTATACCCCAGCCTGTCCCCTAAAGATGATGATGATGATTTGGGTCCTATCCTTGCTGTAGTAGTAAGACCTCCCCAAGCAGGGACAAGGAGTACCCACTGCTCCATTAAGCATTTTACCCTTCCCCAGGAAGAGAGGATTAGTCTTTGTCCCGTTTATAGCTGATTTTTCCCCAACACCCCCTCCTCCCGCGTGGCTGGCTCTGTGTGAGCTGGGAGGAAGTGATACGCTCTGGTCTGCACCCTGGAGCAGAACATTGCTCTTGTAAGCTCAGCAGTTCAGAGTGTTACCATGAGTTATCACAGCAATTCTCTGACACAGGACAATGCTGGAGCTCGCAAGAGGAGTGTACCTAGATACCTAGAATCACTAATTACCACCAGGTTTTAAATTTCTCGTGCCACTAGCTAAAGGTAAGAAAAAGGGAGGGGGGTATAAAGATAACTTGTGTTTTTATTGTAATATAAAAAAATAAAACAAATGTGAATATATATTGATGTGGTCCCATCTCACATCCTCTACTCACACTACAGGCCTATCCCACCCAAATCATTCACGCATTGCACCCCTCACGCACTGCACCCCTACACAATCTAGATCAGGGGTGCCCTTAAAGTAGATCCCCAGATGTTGTAGAACTACAACTCCAATGATACTGTGTATGCTTTTAGAATGACAAAGCATCATGGAAGCTGTAGTTTTAAAACATCTGGGGATCTACCTTTTGTGCGCCCCTGAGCTAGATCCTCGATAGACAGTACAACACATATACATACTATGAATCCTCTACGGATGCACACTGCACCACCTACACACACGCACACACACACACACTACATTCCTGACAAACACACTACATTCGCTATACACACTCTGGATCCCCTACAAACACACTTGATCCCCTGTAAGCAAATACACTCACATTGAAAATGTATGCAGTATGATCCCATTAAAGAGGATCTGACCGGAGAATTCCTGATTACCTAAGTCTAATATGTTTAATAGTATTAGTCAAGTGCTTGTGCTTCCTTATTACTAATAGCCTAAGGTGCTAAATGACTCCGTGATTAGCAGTACAGACTAATTTGTTCAGTATTTAGATAAATGCAAAAGTGGAAAAGAAAAGCAAAAAAGAAACCTCTTCACACCAAATTCTGCTTGTTTTGGAACCTCCTTTATTAAAAACCTTTTTGTGAGGGGTATCTGAACTGATCTATCCACATGTAGAGATTAACACACAATTCATTATACCTTTAGAACATATGCATATGTACCGGCACTTTCCCATCTCTAATGGTGCTGGTATTGAGGTGGTCCTCAGAGAAAACCTCCAATAAATATCAAAATTATAAAAATGATACCACACTCAAAATTAAATGCAAAAAATTAATAAGTATGAATGTCTGATCTAACCAGTAGATTTTTAAGATCCTTAGCCCTTTATGTCACTTTAATAGCAGCAAATTGTATATAAAGTAAAATTAAAGTGGGGTTAGGGAAAATTTCATGATATCCCTCAAGGTCTCAATAGAAATCCTAATATCTTGAAGCAAACGAGTTCTTATATATAAGAATATTATTTATGTAAACTGTCTTTGCAACATGTTAATAAATAATTCTAAGGAAGTACTCCATACCTCAGAATCACATGACTTATTTTTGTATATAGTATATTTGTGTGAATGTTTGTATATTTTTGTATAATCCTGACTTTTGAATGCAGAGGGACTGTTTGTGTGTAGTGTTGGAATTTAAATACAGGTTGTGTAGTGTTAGTGTTTGAATGCAAGGTTTATTTATGTAGTGTAAGTGTATGAGTGCCGCAGTGTGTTTGTGTATAATGTTGGATGTGAATGCAGGGGTGTGTTTGTGTGTGGTGTTGGCATTTGAACTCAGAACTGTTTTTGTGTACAGTGTTGGCGTTTGAATGCTGGGGTCTGTTTGTGTGTACTATTGATGATTGCATGTAAATGTGTTCACATATACATATGCATTCCATGCACACATACAGAGGCAAATGCCATTTGCATACACAGAAACACATACACTGCCACACAGATGCCCATAGACACATATTAACAGAGATACACTACGAGCAATCCACACACAGATTGGCACACATGCACAGTTACATTGACACATATTATTATTATTTATATAGCGCCAGCAAGTACTGTAGCGCTGTACAATGGGTGGACTAACAGAAACGTAGTTGTAACTTTAAAATTATACATCACATTCACATAAAACTTACATTTTCAGAATCAACATACTCCAAATACAAACATGTGTCAAAATCATACAAATTGGTCCAGTGGTTCAAATGATAGATGGAAGACCTATTTGACCGACTGCAAGCATGGCGTGGGTGTGGTAAGCGCATACAGAAAATATCTCCATTTACAACAACAGCAAAAACACACAAAAATACATAATTCCTATCATACTGAACAGAACCCCCACATACAACCTATCCCCAGATAGCTTGGTTCTGAGCTCTCACTATATCCGAACAGCGCTCAGATCCCACAAACACAGTCAAATCTCCATGGGGTTAAAGTTTAGCAACAAGTTCCAACTGGTCTGCTGGAGAACAATAGACAGGAAACGGGGGAGGGGCACACCTCAAATATTCAAAGGGGCAGAAAACAGGCAAACAGGCTTCTCCAATGCCCAGTGGCGAGGTTGGTTCCGCCACAAGGACCTTTTTCTAATGCGAGATCTCTTGAACAGTGAAGAGCATTGAACTAACATGCTCAATTTCTATACGGCCGTGCTTGTCATTCATGATGACACAAAACTCCCCTTTCTGGCCCAGCCCCCTCCCACCAAGCTGCTGTGATTAAAAATGTCTGGACCAAATTTTTGTCACAGCCTGGCCCTTATGGTAAATAAGAGGCCCAAGGAAGGCCAAAGGTTGCTGTATCTCCTGCAAAGAGGACTTGCTGGCATTTTACTGTCCTTTTTGGTGGGATCAGTCTGATATGCATATGCTATAGTTTCTTTTTGTAATGGCACAAGTGTTCGAAAACATTTTTAAGACCTGAACAAGGACTAATTGAAGGGCAAGTTATTCTGTTTCTCTAAGCTATTGCCCTTTCTTAGAGATCTCATATTCTCTTTTAAGGTTTGTGTGTGCTTAGAGAGGCAGTTAATGCAAATTGTTACTTAGTAAATTAACCCACTAGGTTTTATAGCTATAGTAAATTTATATAAATGCCAAACTAAAGGTAAGATTATGTTAAAATAAATATAACTATCCCTTCTAAATCCTGGTCTATATATGTCAATTTGTCAGCAAGGTGTTGGTGTTCCACACATACTAATTTCTATGTATTTATCCATTCTGTCTTGAATTGGAGTTATCATCGCTTCCTTTGTTGTTAAACATGTTGTTATATTCTTTGCACAAGATTTTAAACTTCATAAAGGAGAATTTTAACAGTTTTATGCTATCCAACCCTATCCATCCATTGTTGAACCGAGGAAGCTGCAGTAGACCCCCAGAGGACTGGGACAAAGTTTAGCTTAATGTTACAGCCTCTGAAGCAAATACATTTAACTAAATAGTACTAGGGGCACTGTAGGTACTGTAACTCCTTCATCTCATTGAATTGGTTATATTGTATGGCGACCACTAGTGCTGTTTTTTCATTTTTAATGTTAAACAAAAGTCCCCAGCAGTTGAATCCCTTTGTACTGTTTGGGCTAATGAGGATGCATTAGCCGAAGCAGCAAAGAGCGGCTCTGAAGAGTGTCATTGACCATTTTGAGCTTATCACAGCGCCCACTGCTTGTATAAATTTGTACTGCTGAGAGTGGCCAAGGACCTTCATTCAGTGTTAAACTGCTCAAAAATAGGTTTAACTTACAATGAACGGACAGTACCAGGGGACTTCAGTCACTATAACCAGTTCAATGAAATAAAATTATTATAATGCCTACAGTCTCCTTTGAAATCTAGAAACCTTCTCGGCAAGGTTTTAGCCTGAATAGTGAAAAATACATTTGTCATATCACAAAAGCTAACAAGGAAATCACGTAGTATATAATTTATCTATTTCTTTAGAAATCTAGATTTCCTAACCCTGACATGGCCATACATTCCATTGTTTGATGAAAATACAATTCTAGAATACCTCTAAGAATTAGCAAATAACAAAGTATTTGAATAAACATTTATAACAAGCTGTTACTCGTCCAGTTTTTAAATATCTTGCTCAACAGAATGGGACTAAAGAAACATAACAGCGTTAGGAGTGCAAACAAGGCCGGTGCAAGGATTTCTGTCGCCCTAGACAATGATCAATTTTGCCGCACCCTCGTGAAAGCAAATACAATCTCACAGAGTACCAAAAGGGATAGTTAGGAATCCTAAATATATGTGTTCCAAAACTCACGATAAAGAGTAAGAGAAATATTAGTTAAGAAAGTGAGGAAAGTAGCTCTAAAACTGGAACAGAAGGGTCACCAATCCTTATATAAGATAAACAAAACAATATCACTATAATTGCATAGTTACATAGCTGAAAAGAGACTTGAGTTCATCAAGTTCAGCCTTCCTCACATACTGTTGCAAGAAAAAGTATGTGAACCCTTTGGAATGATATGGATTTCTGCACAAATTGGTCATAAAATGTGATCTGATCATTATCTAAGTCACAACAATAGACAATCACAGTCTGCTTAAACTAATAACACACAAAGAATGAAATGTTGCCATGTTTTTATTGAACACACCATGTAAACATTCACAGTGCAGGTGGAAAAAGTATGTGAACCCCTAGACTAATGACATCTCCAAGAGCTAATTGGAGTGAGATGTCAGCCAACTGGAGTCCAATCAATGAGATGAGATTGGAGGTGTTGGTTACAGCTGCCCTGCCCTATAAAAAACACACACCAGTTCTGGGTTTGCTTTTCACAAGAAGCATTGCTTGATGTGAATGATGCCTCGCACAAAAGAGCTCTCAGAAGACCTATGATTAAGAATTGTTGACTTGCATAAAGCTGGAAAGGGTCATAAAAGTATCTCCAAAAGCCTTGCTGTTCATCAGTCCACGGTAAGACAAATTGTCTATAAATGGTGAAGGTTCAGCACTGCTGCTACTCTCCCTAGGAGTGGCCGTCCTGTAAAGATGACTGCAAGAGCACAGCGAAGACTGCTCAATGAGGTGAAGAACAATCCTAGAGTGTCAGCTAAAGTCTTACAAAAGTCACTGGCAAATGTTAACATCCCTGTTAGCGAATCTACAATACGTAAAACACTAAACAAGAATGGATTTCATGGGAGGATACTACAGAGGAAGCCACTGCTGTCCAAACAAAACATTGCTGCACGTTTACAGTTTGCACAAGAGCACCTGGATGTTCCACAGCAGTACTGGCAAAATATCCTGTGGACAGATGAAACCAAAGTTGAGTTTTTTGGAAGAAACACACAACACTATGTGTGGCGAAAAAAAGGCACAGCACACCAATATCAAAACCTCATCCCAACTGTGAAGTATGGTGGTGGGGGCATCATGGTTTGGGGCTGCTTTGCTGCGTCAGGGCCTGGACAGATTGCTATCATCGAAGGAAAAATGAATTCCCAAGTTTATCAAGACATTTTGCAGGAGAACTTAAGGCCATCTGTCTACCAGCTGAAGCTCAACAGAAGATGGGTGTTGCAACAGGACAATGACCCAAAGCATAGAAGTAAATCAACAACAGAATGGCTTAAACAGAAGAAAATATGCCTTCTGAAGTGGCCCAGTCAGAGTCCTGACCTCAACCCGATTGAGATGCTGTGGCATGACCTCAAGAAAGCGATTCACACAAGACATCCCAAGAATATTGCTGAACTGAAACAGTTCTGTAAAGAGGAATGGTCAAGAATTACTCCTGACCGTTGTGCACGTCTGCTCTGCAACTACAGGAAACGTTTGGTTGAAGTTATTGCTGCCAAAGGAGGTTCAACCACTTATTAAATCCAAGGGTTCACATACTTTTTCCACCTGCACTGTGAATGTTTACATGGTGTGTTCAATAAAAACATGGCAACATTTCATTCTTTGTGTGTTATTAGTTTAAGCAGACTGTGATTGTCTATTGTTGTGACTTAGATGATGATCAGATCACATTTTATGGCCAATTTGTGCAGAAATCCATATCATTCCAAAGGGTTCACATACTTTTTCTTGCAACTGTATATATATATATATATATATTGGGGACTTTTATTTGGACTTATTTGGATCTTTATTTTTATTTTCATTTTTATTTTATGTTTATATTTTTTTTATTCTTTATATTTTCTATTTTTATTTGTACATTGTTTAGTCTCTTGTGAGGTCTATCTAGCTCCTGGTCAATATCTCATAGAGGTTTATTCACTAAACTCTGAATTGCAGTGAACTGAAAACCAAATTGCAAAGTTTAAGCAAAAACAGCTGAACTGTGACTGTAGCCGAATTGGAGAATTCTTCTAGATCAGTTATTTTGGCCTACATTTTGCCATATGGTTTCCAGTTAGGTCTGCCTAATACACACATACTGCTTAATGCGTACATCCATATACACATACTGCCTATTACATACATCCATACACACATACTGCTTAATGCGTACATCCATAAACAAACACTGCCTAATACCTACATCCATACAAACACACTGCCTAATACAACATCCATACACATATACTGCTTAATGCATACATCCACACACACATACTGCTTAATGCGTACATCTATAAACACACACTGCCTAATATCTACATCCATACACACATACTGCCTAATTCATGCATCCATACATACGTACTGCTTAATGGGTACATCCATACACACATACTGCTTAATGCGCTCATCCATGCACACATACTGCTTAATACATGCATCGAAATACACACATACTGCTTAATGCATACATCCATAAAGACACACTGCCTAATACCTACAGCCATACACACATACTGCTTAATGCGCTCATCCATGCACACATACTGCTTAATACATGCATCGAAATACACACATACTGCTTAATGCATACATCCATAAAGACACACTGCCTAATACCTACAGCCATACACACATACTGCTTAATGCGCTCATCCATGCACACATACTGCTTAATACATGCATCGAAATACACACATACTGCTTAATGCATACATCCATAAAGACACACTGTAATACCTCCATACACACATACTGCTTAATGCGTACATCCATATACACACACTGCCTATTACATACATCCATACACACATACTGCTTAATGCGTACATCCATACACACATACTGCTTAATGCGCACATCCATACACATATACTGCTTAATGCATACATACACACACACATACTTCTTAATGCGTACATCCATACACACATACTGCTTAATGCGCACATCCATACACACATACTGCTTAATACATGCAACGAAATACACACATACTGCTTAATGCGTACATCTATAAACACACACTGCCTAATACCTACATCCATACACACATACTGTCTAATTCATGCATCCTTACACACGTACTGCTTAATACATGCATCGAAATACACACATACTGATTAATGCGTACATCCATAAACACACACTGCCTAATACCTACATCCATACACACATACTGCCTAATGCATGCATCCATACACACATACTGCTTAATAGGTACATCCACACACACATACTGCTTAATGCACTCATCCATACACACATACTGCCTAATTCATGCATCCATACACACATACTGCTTAATGGGTACATCCACACACACATACTGCTTAATGCGCTTATCCATACACACATACTGCTTAATACATGCTTCGAAATACACACATACTGATTAATGCGTACATCCATAAACACACACTGCCTAATACCTACATCCATACACACATGCTGCCTAATTCATGCATCCATACACACATACTGCTTAATGGGTACATCCACACACACATACTGCTTAATGCGCTCATCCATACACACATACTGCTTAATACTTGCATTGAAATACACACATACTGATTAATGCGTACATCCATAAACACACACTGCCTAATACCTACATCCATACACACATACTGCCTAATTCATGCATCCATACACACATACTGCTTAATGCGCTTATCCATACACACATACTGCTTAATACATGCATCGAAATACACACATACTGATTAATGCGTACATCCATAAACACACACTGCCTAATACCTACATCCATACACACATACTGCCTAATTCATGCATCCATACACACATACTGCTTAATGGGTACATCCACACACACATACTGCTTAATGCACTCATCCATACACACATACTGCCTAATTCATGCATCCATACACACATACTGCTTAATGGGTACATCCACACACACATACTGCTTAATGCGCTTATCCATACACACATACTGCTTAATACATGCTTCGAAATACACACATACTGATTAATGCGAATTCTTCTAGATCAGTTATTTTGGCCTAAATTTTGCCATATGGTTTCCAGTTAGGTCTGCCTAATACACACATACTGCTTAATGCGTACATCCATATACACATACTGCCTATTACATACATCCATACACACATACTGCTTAATGCGTACATCCATAAACAAACACTGCCTAATACCTACATCCATACAGACACACTGCCTAATACAACATCCATACACATATACTGCTTAATGCATACATCCACACACACATACTGCTTAATGCGTACATCTATAAACACACACTGCCTAATATCTACATCCATACACACATACTGCCTAATTCATGCATCCATACATACGTACTGCTTAATGGGTACATCCATACACACATACTGCTTAATGCGCTCATCCATGCACACATACTGCTTAATACATGCATCGAAATACACACATACTGCTTAATGCATACATCCATAAACACACACTGCCTAATACCTACAGCCATACACACATACTGCCTAATTCATGCATCCATACACACATACTGCTTAATGGGTACATCCATACACACATACTGCTTAATGGGTACATCCATACACACATACTGCTTAATGCGCTCATCCATACACACATACTGCTTAATGCGTACATCCATATACACACACTGCCTATTACATACATCCATACACACATACTGCTTAATGCGTACATCCATACACACATACTGCTTAATGCGCACATCCATACACATATACTGCTTAATGCATACATACACACACACATACTTCTTAATGCGTACATCCATACACACATACTGCTTAATGCGCACATCCATACACACATACTGCTTAATACATGCAACGAAATACACACATACTGCTTAATGCGTACATCTATAAACACACACTGCCTAATACCTACATCCATACACACATACTGTCTAATTCATGCATCCTTACACACGTACTGCCATAGGCGTGCGCAGCCTATTGCATTAGGGTGTGCACCCTAAAGCACAAACACACGCCACGCGCGTGTGTGTGTATGTATCTATCTATCTATATATATATACACACACACACTGCTGTGTGTGCTGTTAATGTGATGTGTGTGTGAGGGTGCGTGTTTGTGACTGTGCTGTTTGTGTGTGAGGGTGTTTGTGTGTGTATGTTTGTCCTGTGAGGGTGCTGTTTGTGAGGGTGCTGTTAGTGTGCTGTGTGTGAGGGTGTTGTGTTTTTTTTAAAGGTGCTGTGTGTGTTTGTGAGGGTGCGGTTAGTGTACTGTGTGTGTGTGAGCTGTATGTGTGTAGGTGCTGTATGTGTGTGTGCTGTATGTTTGGAGGGATTTGGCAGATTAGTAAATCCTTGCTGCCATGTGCCATCCCTGGTGGTCCAGTGGAGAGTGAACTCTAGCCTGCGGGGCTAGAGTTAACTCTCGCGAGATCTGAGCGTTGCCGCAGCAACGCTCAGATATCGCGAGAGGAACCTGGCGGAGCTTCTGTCTAGAGCAGCCTGGGTCCTCTACTGCCTCCCTCCATGCTGCTGTGGGCCGGTGAGGTAGATCTTTGGTCTCCCCGCCGGCCCATGAAGGCTTAGAGCAGAGCCGGCACTCAGATAGCGCCGGCTCTGCGTGTGTGTGTGTATATATACGTACACACACACACACACACACATACATACATACTCACAGACACACTCACACTGACACACATACTCAGACACACACACACTGATAATTCCATCTCTGCCAGCAACACACCCTAATCATAACAAAAAGTAAGTCAATTCAGCTGAATTGATATATATGTGAGGGTGCGGTTAGTGTACTGTGTGTGTGTGAGCTGTATGTGTGTAGGTGCTGTATGTGTGTGTGCTGTATGTTTGGAGGGATTTGGCAGATTAGTAAATCCTTGCTGCCATGTGCCATCCCTGGTGGTCCAGTGGAGAGTGAACTCTAGCCTGCGGGGCTAGAGTTAACTCTCGCGAGATCTGAGCGTTGCCGCAGCA